ATACAATGAAGGTAGGCCTACAAGTATCGTTATTTTTCACAAGATGTTTGTGATATAGAGCAATGTTGAATTAAGAATTGGCATTACAGCACTCGGAACACTTGTGCTCAGTCCCGATCCTCAGCAGCAAGCGAAAAGTTCCAATTGTGATGGCACCAGTAACAATCTGATTGTATATCCGTCTCATCTTTCCCCTGAGTGTTGAGCGTCGGCCAGATCCCCTGGTAACTCCTCGCAGAACCATTCTCCTTAGACCGTAATGATCAATCTGTGCCTCCTCACTGATGTAGAAGAAGATAGTAAGCAGCATTCCTACACACTAAGCTTTAAACCCCAGTTGATAAAATATGCTAAAGAAATCAACAGGTCAGCAGAGTGCCATTTCAGACCTCCACTACCGGAAAAACATCCATAGTTTTTTGGTAGTCCCAGCAGGACATTTTGAGCGAAATAGCCATGGGAAAAAAAAATGGCCAGAACTAGAGACTCAAAGTAGGCGCAAGAATTAAATGTGAGTTTTGTCTGGAAAATTTCTTGGGGTGTGTCTTAGACACCGAAACAAATGGTAATTCTTAATTATAAAAACTGATTTAACACCCTTATTATATCACTGTTTAGAGAGTAACAGAGAAGGGGGAGAAGACAGGAAGTCATATTAAGCCTGAAGATTTGGGACTGCAGGTTAGTAGTCTTTATTAATTGTGCCCAGTCCCCCCCCCCCCCCCCCCCCCCAAAATGTTATCACTAGCAAGGATTCAAACCTATATCTAAAAAATATGATCTAAGTATTCCAACTGCTTAAGCCACACACTGCTAAAGTTCTTAACATTTGAGAAATTGCTGTTTTTCCACAAAAATAACATTTGGTCACTTAATAATCAATTTAAACAAAATGTCAACAACTGTTTTCCCCAGTAGCTGAAATAGCAGTTTTGACCTTTAACCCACTCAGAAAAAGTGTAACACAAAAGCAACAAACAATACACAAAACATCTGACAACAATAATTTAGATTAAATGCAATGATTGAATAAGATAAAATGTGTATCACTAGTATATTATCACTGAAGAAACAGTTATGAATAATAAATCATCATCAACAAGATAAACATATTATTTTGGCTTACTAGAAGAAACTGACTGGCAAAAAGTACACTGTGATATAAGGCAAAATTGCTGCCATGTTCAAGAAAAGATGAACAATAATAAACAACTACAGTCTAATATTTCTCAGTTTTCTTTTACTTCTGTTTTCTGGATTATCTGTTCAATTTATTGCCACATAAATCTCTAAACCGATATGTAATTCTCAAATCTGTTCATTCAGTAACGTGGAGGAACACTGCTGTAATTACAGCCTGCAGGAAGAATATTTGATCTTTTGGCAGTTTCCCCGCTTCATGCATTTCTATGATTAAGGTGTCCTTGATGTGCCATCCACTTTCTTTCATTGTCTCCTTTGTTTTTACTCCCTTCCTCCCTGATTTTTCCCCCCTCAAGGAATCACAATCCATTGCAGCATGTCACTGAGAATTGATCTCAAATATCTGTACCATGCATTTCTCTATAGAGGCTAAATGCATAATTACTGAATATGCCATAACAGTTCCTAACTCCCTTTCCATAACTCTTTCTAGTAGTCAGTATACACTCATTTTTTTCATCTTCTCATAAAGACACCCCCCCCCCCCCCCCCACCCGCCCCCCCTCCAAATGACGACTGCTACTTTCTAGTGTCTGTCCACATTCAGATCACTTATTTAGACTACAAGGAACTGTAAGCATTATTCTGTAGATCCACATCTCCTAGACCTCAAGTGATTTTTGTCGTTGGTATTTTTGTGTTTTTCTTGTGTGTTTTTTTTGGGCTTGTTTATAAACTGTACACAAAAAAGTCACCCTCATGTGGGATGGCATTTTTTGTTATTTTGAAGCCCCAAAGCTCTTGCTGGGGGGGGGGGGGGGGCCTAAATATAGCTGGGCCATAAATAAGGACTAACGGCTGAACAGAGATTCCAGGACCTCTCCACCAGTGATCCTCCTCCGCATGGTGGCACTTTGTGTCACCGGGTGTTTATCACTCTGTGTGATATCCTGGTGAGGTAAAATTTACTTACTTACTTACTTACAGCCATATGTCCTGGTGAAGAAAACTCATGAAAACCGTAAAAGATGAAGTACAGGTGAGCCTCATAAAACTTAACTCATAAAAATCTGGTTCCTTTATATAATAACTATTTTGATGTACTTACAGCAGGTAAAGTAAAACAAAACGAGAAAGCACTGCAATATTTTTGTATAACTGTAAATCTCTTCATTGCATCTCTGAGGCTTTAAGGGATTTTTTGTTATTGTTGTTGGTTGTTCTCCAGTTGACAATTCACAAGAACGTGCTGGTATAGTTTTATGAAAACTAATGTAACAATATTTGGAAAACTTGAAGCATAGTTGAGCTTCATAAAACTACAATAACAAACAAATAAACAAAGAACATGTTTCACTGATACATAAAACTTACATTAGATGCCATATATATGCAGAGTAAAATAAAATTAGATAGTATTGCTCTCTGTTTCATAACTATTCATTTCTTAAAATCATTTAATACATCATAACATTAAGTATTTAATAACAGTGAATGTGATCCACACAAATACATACTAAAAAAAAACATTGGTAATCAAACAGAAAATCAAAGCACCGCTTCCAAATTGCAAAAATGAACAAAGAAGACACAATCAATAGACTGCAAAATGTTCCCCATGTGTGTTCAAGGAAATGTTCCCCATGTGTGTTCAAGGAAATGTTCCCCATGTGTGTTCAAGGAAATGTTCCCCATGTGTGTTCAAGGAAATGTTCCCCATGTGTGTTCAAGGAAATGTTCCCCATGTGTGTTCAAGGAAATGTTCCCCATGTGTGTTCAAGGAAATGTTCCCCATGTGTGTTCAAGGAAATGTTCCCCATGTGTGTTCAAGGAAATGTTCCCCATGTGTGTTCAAGGAAATGTTCCCCATGTGTGTTCAAGGAAATGTTCCCCATGTGTGTTCAAGGAAATGTTCCCCATGTGTGTTCAAGGAAATGTTCCCCATGTGTGTTCAAGGAAATGTTCCCCATGTGTGTTCAAGGAAATGTTCCCCATGTGTGTTCAAGGAAATGTTCCCCATGTGTGTTCAAGGAAATGTTCCCCATGTGTGTTCAAGGAAATGTTCCCCATGTGTGTTCAAGGAAATGTTCCCCATGTGTGTTCAAGGAAATGTTCCCCATGTGTGTTCAAGGAAATGTTCCCCATGTGTGTTCAAGGAAATGTTCCCCATGTGTGTTCAAGGAAATGTTCCCCATGTGTGTTCAAGGAAATGTTCCCCATGTGTGTTCAAGGAAATGTTCCCCATGTGTGTTTCAAGGAAATGTTCCCCATGTGTGTTCAAGGAAATGTTCCCCATGTGTGTTCAAGGAAATGTTCCCCATGTGTGTTCAAGGAAATGTTCCCCATGTGTGTTCAAGGAAATGTTCCCCATGTGTGTTCAAGGAAATGTTCCCCATGTGTGTTCAAGGAAATGTTTTCCCATGTGTGTTCAAGGAAATGTTCCCCATGTGTGTTCAAGGAAATGTTCCCCATGTGTGTTCAAGGAAATGTTCCCATGTGTGTTCAAGAAATGTTCCCCATGTGTGTTCAAGAAAATGTTCCCCATGTGTGTTCAAGGAAATGTTCCCCATGTGTGTTCAAGGAAATGTTCCCCATGTGTGTTCAAGGAAATGTTCCCCATGTGTGTTCAAGGAAATGTTCCCCATGTGTGTTCAAGGAAATGTTCCCCATGTGTGTTCAAGGAAATGTTCCCCATGTGTGTTCAAGGAAATGTTCCCCATGTGTGTTCAAGGAAATGTTCCCCATGTGTGTTCAAGGAAATGTTCCCCATGTGTGTTCAAGGAAATGTTCCCCATGTGTGTTCAAGGAAATGTTCCCCATGTGTGTTCAAGGAAATGTTCCCCATGTGTGTTCAAGGAAATGTTCCCCATGTGTGTTCAAGGACTCCATTTTGAGCGAATAAGAACAGACCCACAGGTATGTCTTAAAAAGGATCAAATTATGAGTTTGCTGAAATCGGATGTGAACTCCTGCGGAAAGTTCTGGTTGTTTGTCCACTTCTGGATGTTAGTCTTGTTCCAGAACCTGAGTGTTGCGTGCACACCGTTTTACAGATCTCACTTAAGTCAATGCAGATTGTTGGTTCCTAGTCTCTCAGGCAGATGCACTCCACTTCGAAGGAAGTCCCCAGTTGGCTGACACTTATGACATGCTTTTTGTGGGGAGGCAATGGGTCTATTCTTGTTGTCCCCACAACTTGACCACGAAAGGTGATGGAAAGGTGCAGATATTTCAGCCTAGCTGAAAACCACAACAGAACATGCCAGCTACCCTTTTAAGGGCAAACGCAGAAAAAGAAAACAAAAACTGCACAATTTAGATACAGACAAGATACTGCAAAACATGCTAGAATTTAAACTGTGCAATCTATTGCTTGTGTCTTCTTTATTCATATCACATAGGAAGCAATAACTGAACACACAGTTATACAATGAACACAACTAGGGCTTCCCATGGCGGTCACTTTTACAGATTTGAATAGTTAGTTGTGTATCCTTTACACCACATTGCAGAATAACCCCAGTATGTGTGTGTGTGCACGCGTGCGTACGTCGATGTGTGCGTTATGTGGCTGTTTGCGATTTTACTAGACAAATTAACGTTCAGTAGTTTGCCATTGCTTCTGAGCGGTCAGCTATCAATACTACTGTTGAGACCTATGCAAGATGGTCTGCTGCCAAATCGCCTGCAGCTGGGATTGAAACCAGCACTGCAGAACTAGGAAGTGCATTCGTAAAAAATTTATTTAAATGAAAGAGAAGAGGAATGTTTCCAGAAGGCCTTTAAGTGTTACCAAGATGAATTATCTCAACAAAAATAACATACAAACAAAAATAACAACAACAAAAAATACATCACTACATTTCATCCATATCTCTGTAGTTGGGTTCAACACTGACAAAGTAATCATCGAAGAAATAGCGAAGACTTTCAAAAGTTGGCCTGTCCTCGGGGTTCCGATTCCAGCACTTGAGCATCTTATCAAAGTATGAATCGGGCACTTCAATTGGTCCGTTAGTGGGTTTGCTCATCCGACGACCTTTTTCTACCATCTGCAGCACTTCTGAGCCTGCCATGCCTGAAGGAAAGAAATGGAATTGCATGCACACAATTCATTTTGAAAATGAACAGACTTTAAGATGAAACATAAAAACATCCTCTGCTTCAAGGTGATCCGTAAGTATAAAAAAATGAACAGATCATTAACACCATTATAAGCATAACTCCAGCTGTTCTTATATGTGTATTTCAGCAATGGAGGCAGTTCAATTCAGTTCAGTATGAAGTAAATAAAAATTCTAAACTTGCTCCTCGTTCAACTGGCTAAACACCATGTTATACTGAGGAGGGTTTTATTTCCTGACTTGTTTGATTTCTGTTTCTTTGTGCTCAAGCAGAAGACACAATAAGAAGAACATTGGGCAAGGAGACGAGTGGGTGAGAGTACCCGAGGAAAAGTCTGACCTATTTAAGGTCATGATCACATTAGGCCAGGAGTGCAGTGGCCAGCAGGGGCTACTGAGGTGGAAGTCCAACAGTTGATTTATGACGATTCTCGTCCTGATGATCTGATTATCTATATCTACACAGATGTTTCTGTATAGAGAGGGAAAAGAAGTGCCGGGGGTTTCGTAGCGAAAGCCAATGGAAAATCTTTAGTGCAGGACATCCTGACATATGATACCACAACATCTATCATGAGAATGGAGGTGGAGGCGGTCATTGCAGCTTGCCGGTGGCTAGAAAACAAGATACATTCAGATTCTGAAAGCATGCTGAAAAAGGTGAAGACAAGATTGCTTCGAGCAGAATGGCAAGCTTCACTTGCAAGGTCACGGGTAGTGAGCATACTTTGGATCTTTTCTCTAGGCAATGCCGGCGTGGTGGGGAATGAACAGGCAGACAGATTGGCTGGATCTGCACCGCTGGGGGTGAACTGATGCACAACAAGGCAGATGTGGTCACAGCTCTTTGGGAACAAGTAACGAAGACAGCAGAGAAATTAGATTATTATGGGCTGGAGAGAATGATGCACCTGGATGTGACCAGAGGGTTCGGCCAGCACACTACACTCAGAGGAGAGGCAAGATGGACATACAACCAGACTACGACCAGCACCATTAGTATTGGAACTCTGCGCGATGAGGAAGGAACACACAATGCCCCGAGTGCTGTGATGTCAATTTTTGACTCGAATCAATTCAACTGTTTCTTTGTGGAGTGCAATTACGCCTGAGTTTTCATTTCTTTATCCCTTTATATCTGGTGAGGTCTGAGCTGGTGATGTTATTGCTGTTTTGCTGTCTTTGTGCTAAGTCCTTAGAAGGACTGTTAGGTTGTGTGCTTCTTGCTCTGGTTCTGTTCAGTTGGGCTTCTTCTGCCTTGGCGTTAACTAAGCTACAGTTCTCCTGGGGCTGGTGTGTGGTGTTTCTTGTGGTTTATTTCTTGCAGTGCCAGCCCCTAGTGGAGGCATAAAACAGGGGTCATCTTATACATGGGGGTGTCTTTTTCATGAAAAATACATGCTGATATAACCAGCCTTCATTCATCTCTATGTTTGAGCTTCTCTTTCCAGTTGGTGACTCCAAGTGTTTGTAGGTCTGCCTGCAAATTATCTCTCCACAGTCTTCTTGGTCTGACTCCTGGTCTACTCCCATTGAACTCCCTTTGTGAATGCAGTTTCTCTCTCTGTTATCTGCCATTCTATCTGTATTCCTCAACCATTGCGATCTGTCAGACCTCCTGATGCCAGTCATAAGTCTAAATGCACAACTTTTGGCCAAGAGAAACACTGGTCCAAGACATACTTTACGGGTCACTGAGTGTATTACAACAGACATTGAAGTTCATACTAGAGACAACACTGCAGATCTAGATAAAAGGTTTATCCCCTCCAGGATTGCAGTCTCTAGGATTAACATCTCAAGGATGAGAACCAAAAGGGCTACAAATTCAAGAAACCCTATTCAATTGAACAGCCATATAGTGCAGATATCCTGAGGCCCCACACAATGGTTATGAAGGAACCTGTAGTCCAGGATGTAGAGAAATATCACCATCATCATCAAGTGCCTTGCCAGTTGGCGTAGGCGTTCATGCATCTCCACAGATGTCGGTCTTTGGTGTTCTGGATCAATTCCACTGATGATATTCCTCCATGCCACTGTCTTAAGCCATCCACCATCATTTCCTTTGGTCTGCCTCTGCCTCTTCTACCAGTGATTTTTCCAGTTGTCACGATATTTTCCACTGCTCCTTTTCTCATTACATGTTAAAAGAACTTTATTTGTCTCCTTGTTATTGTTGCATATAATGTTCTACATTCACTAGCCATTTCCAGGCAATCATTGTTAGTTATTCTGGCAGTCCAAGGTATTCACAACATTTTTCTCAAGAACCACATCTCAGTTGCCTCCAAACATTTTTAATTTAGTGAAATATAAATTGAAAAAAAAAAGATTATGCAGATCTGGTATGATTTAAAAATGATGATAAGTTTTAAACATATCAGGTTTTTGTGTTTCCTTATTTAAATAAATAAAAGAAAACTGAATATTTACCAGGATATGGTACTTTGCCATAGGTGATGATCTCATACATGAGGACTCCAAAAGACCACACATCTGACTTGATGCTGAATTTCCTTTCTAGTGCAGCTTCTGGAGCTGTCCATTTGATTGGGAACTTTGTGTCTGCAAGAAACACAAAAGTGCGTTCAACAATGTTACAGTTGTATGCAACAATGAATGAATAACATGAGTGAATCAAGAGCTGACAGCACTGCACTTGGGACACTCCCATTCATGCTCTGTCCTTTGAGAATCTGAAAGAAACATGAAAATATATTTAACAATACTTATTTATGAAAGAATTAATAAATGAATGATTGAATGAATCAATCAAGAATTGAAATCACTGCACTCGGGGTATTTCTATTCGTGCTCCGTTCCCTTCCTGAATTTGAAAAACATCAATTTGAATTTAACAAATGTAATATTTGTAATTGGAATAAAACAACACATATGAAAGCAAATTTAACAATGTTAATCCGGGTCTGTGGAATTCCTAGTCCGCTGCATAAAGTGTTAAATGGTATTTGTCTGGAGCAAGTAAACAAATTTAAATATCTATTAAGTATATTCTCAGATGACGAGAGAATAGATCGGGAACTTAAATAAGATGCCAACAAGCTAGTGCACTTACATACCAACTGACACCATTTTTATGACATCAAACCATAAGTAGAAGCACCAAGAAACAGATTATAAGCAGCATATTCATACCAACACTGTGTACTGGTGCCAGACTTAGACATTATCAAAAGCTAACCTGCATAAAATTAATATCTGTGAAATGAGATGCCTGAGAAAAGCCACCAACTTAACCATCTGAGACAAAGTGAGAAATTATATTATCAGATAGAATGTGGGAACAACACTATGCAGCAAATTCATCAGAAAACAGAAAATCAAATGGTTTGGTCATCTAGTAAGAATGCAGCCAGAACAACTACCAACAAAAGCATGTCCTGGTACAGATTCATAAAACTACAATAACAAACAAAGAACCTGTTTCACTGATACATAAAACTTACATTAGATGCCATATATGGAAATATGAACTTACTTTCATTTGCTTCATAAACATTGTCTTCAGATTCCAAAATCCGAGCCAGGCCAAAATCAGCAACTTTAACATCATAATGTTCACCAACCAGAATGTTGGCAGCTCTCAAATCTCGGTGCACAAAGTTGACACTCTCTAGATATGCCATGCCTTCAGCAATCTAAAACATAATAATAACAAATTCTGCTGTAATTCCAGAAATTCCAAAGAAATTTGACTCAAAAGCTCAACAAAATGGGAAGGCAGAAAAATGTGCACAAAACAACACAACGTAAAGTTATGACCGGGCAGCCTTTTTCAAACATAAGTGAACTACACAAAAAACGTTACGAAACGTTACGTTGTGTTGTTTTGTGCACGTTTATCTGCTTCCCCATTTTGTTGAGCTTTTGAGTCAAATTTCTCTGGAATTCCTTGTATTAGCTTGACTGCAGTCACCCCCATATTTCCACCATTTTTGTAATTCAAGAAGCACGTCTTGTACTTCCCAAATTTGGCTACCAACATGATTACTTATATTTTTTCCACCTCTTCCCTCCCTCAAAAACACACACACACTCACAGGAAACTGGGTAGTGTTTGAACTTTCTCATAGTTAAGAATTTTTTTTTTTTAGGAAGGGGTGTGGGGTCACTAGACTGGATTTCTAGGTTGCCTCAACCTCAACATGAAGACAGTGTGAGACAATTCTTGACATCCTAGTGTCATGGCACAGAGGGGTGTCAACACACTAACTGATACATGCTGCTGAAGATCACAGATTGTGGAGAGGCATGATCGCCTATATGATTATTAGTTTTAATTTCCTGTGACTTCCACAAATTTCTTTTAGTGTCAAAACTCCTCATGCCTTTTGTATTCACATTTTAATATCTTTATCAGTTCCCCCTTCTTCTTATTTTTTTTCTCTACTTCTGGAATGCCTCGCAGCATCAGGGGAGAAGGTGATCTTTAGAATGGGTTCTGTTCGCTTTGTATATAGTACTTTCCAGTGTCTCTAATATTTCTGTGGTCCGTATTCTGCATGGTCAATATCTGGGTCTGTTACCACTGTATCTGTATAACATTGCTCTCTGTGGCGCCCTGTCTGCTGTCAATCTTGTTACATGGCCAAACCATTTGATCTGTTGTCATTTATAAAGTTCAGTATTGGTTGTGTGCCGATTCTCCACCTATCATCGTTCCTAAATTACGTCAGTTCCTCCAAATATTATTTTTTGTTCTGTTCATTATTTTCTGCTTAAAAATTCTTTCATTATCTTTATTTGTTTCCACATTAAAAAAACTACTATTAGCTGACGACCAGTGCTCGTTCTACCCCGAAAAAGATAGTCTGCAAGACCACATCAACAGGTTAAACTCAGCATGCAGTAAATACAACATGCAAACAAAACCAAAACAAAAGCAAGAGGATGGTCGCGGAAAAGATGGATGACAACATTAAAGACACTACGCCTTCACAGCATGACAATAGCTAGTGGCAGCCAATGTGCACTGGATCGCAAATCATTCCTCCCCATGACGCTTAACGGCAGAGGTGGTTTATGATGATGATGATAATGATCTTATGACTGTTGTGACAAGTCAATGCCAAGACATTTGTCTTAATTCTTTGCCTGTTTTGAATTCATTTCATTTAATTATTGTTCATCAATCTCCTCAGACATTCATTTTTGAACATTCTAACTGAACTTTTCAAACGTGAGAAAGAAAAAGCAGAGACAGAACTTGTAGTCTTGGTCAGTTTTTTAAATAAAAATCCAGGGGGTTGAAACCTATGACCATCGGGCAGAAAGGCAAGCCTGCTAGCAGTCAAGTCATTGCAGCCCTAAATCACTCAAAATAAAAATAATACAGAACTTGTAATTTTCAAACTTAAAAATCTGCAGATTAGGTAGGGAGGTAATCACTAAATATAAATGGATCCAGGAATTAACTGCATTTCCTCCCTTAGACCAAGAAATATATGGTTCTGTTATCATGGCCACAAATGACTAAGTGACGGCACCATACGTTTTTCATGATGCAAAGATAATGTACCAATGACATACACACAAAAACGTTTTTTTCTCCCACCTAAATTATATTTACTTGGAGGAGGGGGGGTAGATATAAATGTACCCACTATGTGTACCCACTTGGTGTACGCACCAGGCAGGTGCAACCAGCACCAGATCTGTCATACAGGCATGTTGACTACTGCTCAAAGACAATGTGCCATCCTAAAACTCAACAGGCCCTAGATGTCTACATTTACAGGGCAAGAGAATTCAGTCATACATAAAAGGCAAAAGTTTTCAGTATAAATAGTGCTATTAGATGTGAAAAAAAATGTCCTACACACAAGAGTTGGAACTTGATAAGTTAGCTTGATCAGTTCACTTCTTACTTCAACTCAAAACTAAAGTAGATCAATCAGGTGTAACGATTTTCTGTATAACTTATATGCCTGCTGTCCCTGGTCTCAGACTGAGTCTGATGAGGGAAGAGTGGCAAAGGGTTGTAGATTCTGCCTATAATGTGAGGGGAATAGTTTAAATAAAGCTGTTCATTATTATTTTATTTAAAAATTTGAAATACCTGTGAATTCATTTCAATGAGATTATTAAATTTGAGCTTCTTTCCCTGGTCAGACCGCAAGAAGTCCAGCAAGGCTCCATTGACCATCAACTCTGTAATGATATAAAATGGTTCCTCGGCAGACACAACAGCCATCAACTGAAGATGGAAAAGTCAAAATAGAGAGCTTGTCAGTATAGTTCATTTCTGACACAAACATCAACAGAAGAAGAAATATCTCAAACTCTGCTACAATTACTTTTAGTAGGACTGTGATTTCGGTCATAGGCGTGAAGGAAAGTTAAGGCCATCATAATGTGTATAAACAGATTCTTTTTATCTCACCTCTAGGAACAGGCTCTCTGTTAGTTTTATGGATCCTCATGCAGGACTCCTGCCATATGTCCTTGTCGTGCACTATAAATAATGGCTCATATTAGCCTAAACTGAGCTGGTTGGGAATCTTGGAGTTGGTAGCAACCAGAGATGTAATGTCCAGAAATCCTCTAGCTCTCATCAGCCCATCTCTAATAATGGGTGATAACGTCAATTGGCCGAATATCCTATTAAATTACAAACCTTGGTTCAAACACCTGTTGACTATTAGTACTACTCAACCGCTGAGTAGACTCAAACATCGTCAGTTAAGTGACCTACAGCAATATAGAACATTTTCACTTGTCCAACAATCGAATGTCTTACTGTGTGACAGGCAAGATTAAGAAGTATGACCATAAAATGTCCTACTGCATGACAGACAAGATTCAAATGTCCCCTACCATAGGTCCCACTCACTTGAGTGTCAGGGCCAAAAGTCCCACCATAAACTGTCCTACCGTCTGAAAGAATAGTTCAAATGTCCTCGAAAACTGGCCTAATGTGTCACGACCAAATAAGAAAGCCATAACTGATGCATGCCTTTCCCACACTGTCGTGCTAAGTGTTTTAATGCAACAACATTAAAGGTGTCTAGGGTGATGAAGAAGACTGTACCAACTTGTGTTGTCATCGAAGTACCAGACCTGCAGGCTGCTCTCTGCTGATCGCCAGATTAAGCACTGTCTTGGTGCACTCTACAGGAGATATTGCACTTCTACATCCCATATTCATAATAATTTTGCTAGGTTTGCTAGACAAATGCATGGCACCAATTCATACTACAGCAGAGCCTGTTCATTGTCTTAACAACGTTTTTGGTTAAACCACTCTGTCACCAAGAAATGTATGGGGTTAGAACTGATGTCAGCACATTGCAGATAAATGAACAGGTGTGCTCAATTGACACTTTCAGATGACCTTTCTGTAGCACAACTCTATTGCACATGTCTGTTCTGTACTTAAACATGTTATCCCCATCTTACACACAGTGCAGTTTCAAATGCTGACTCCATCTCAAAGTTCTAGGATCCCATTTTAGAGAAACAAACAACAGACCTACTTTTTCAGCAGAACATCTGGGAGGAAGGTAAAAGGAATACCAAGAAAGAGGCAGATAAATGGCATAGCTGAAACCTGCAGAAAGATTACCAAATCTATCAGCCAAGTCTCAGAGAAGCACAAGACAAATACAGGAAACCTTGGGTTACAATCTGATAGAAGTTAAAATCAAATGTGTTGGGTCAAAAGGTGCAGATATCACAGTCTAGCTGTAAACTTCAACACAGCATGGCAATCATCATTTTAAGGGTGAAGACAGGAGTGGAAGGAAAAAAAAAAAAAAGAAATGCCAGCAATCATAGGCTGGTTGTTAGACCCAATGCTGTACTAGTTTTTTTTTAAAGTCAGAATGGCAAATGAGTTAAATGATTCATCAAAAATGAATTATTCCACTTACAATGAATTACTCCATCAACAATGAATTATTCCATCAATGATGAATTAATCTTTAGTTGTAAGCACACTTACTTGCACTAGCTTTGAATGGGTTAATTTATGCATAATCTTTGCCTCATTCAAGAATGCCTCTGATGACATTGTGCCAGGTTTTAGTGTCTTGACTGCCACATCCACAACTTTTCTTAGAGTTCCTAGAAATCAGAGTAATTCTGGTGACTTTTTTTACTGCTAACAGAAATTCTCAGCAATAATTCACTAGAAACTGTATGTAGCAATTCTCTATCAAATTCATATACCTCTAATGGACCAAATTTATACAATTCAGGATGAGTAATAATATGTGGCAGAACAGACAGATTTAACGCTTTCACCCAGAAATGCTAAAAAAATTTAGTTATGAACACATAACAATTCCCCCAAAAGTCCTTTAAAAAAACAAATATTTCTATAAGTCACTAATAAATTGTTTTATCAAAAAGTGTTTTATCAACATTCTGAAAATTTACTTCCAAAATATGTATACACAAAAATATGTGAAGGGAGTAATAAATTAACATGAATGAAGTGAAGCATTAAATATAATACACTCCCCTAATATGTATTAGGCGACTCATGCCATGAACCAATGACCTCTATCAATGAGGTAAAGGAAGAATTTTGACAGCTTTAAAAGAAAATCCATTTAGTTTTCAAAAAATAAATATTCCTCTGAACTCTTTTTAAAGTAAATATACTCATATCCGGACCTCAACGCTGTGCAAGTGCAAACACAGCCAATGCCATGAACTAGGCATCTCATAAACACATCACAGCAGAAATACCTGTTGAGTAGCATATACGGGGAACATGCCATACATTTTAAGCCATGCTTAAACACTACAATGAACACATACATAGCAATGGAAAAACCACATAAAATATGCAATGATGACATCAAGAGCAGCCTTAAAGAAATGAAGATCAACTTACAGCATGCATTTAAAAAACACACACACAGAAGACCTATATATTTCCTAACACCTCAAAGAGGCAACTGGAGGAAGAGAAGGAGAAGAGAAAGTAAATTTTGTTGAGGCCTTTTCACACAGACAGCACGAGGACAATGCTATATTCTGGGTAAGAGATAATATAAAAGAATGGAGCTGAAATGGTTAGTTGTAGCTGAGGTGACTTAGGTGGAAGATGAGACTCATTATTTACAAGAGTAACTTATCATTTACAAGAGAAAGTATTGTGCCTTAAAATCTGTGCTTTTGTTCGGGTATTATGCAGCACCATCATTTTGGGAGGGGGGGGGGGGCATCAGTTTTTAGCACATCATAAGACACTTTGTGGTGAGCTCACCCCCTGCCTCCCCCTTTTTAAAAGAAACTTTGTGGTGAGCTCACCCCCCTGCCTCCCCCTTTTTGAAAGAAACTTTGTGGTGAGCTCACCCCCCTGCCTCCCCATTTTTTAAAGAAACTTTGTGGTGAGCTCACCCCCCTGCCTCCCCTTTTTTTAAAGAAACTTTGTGGTGAGCTCACCCCCCTGCCTCCCCCTTTTTTAAAGAAACTTTGTGGTGAGCTCACCCCCTGCCTCCCCCTTTTTTAAAGAAACTTTGTGGTGAGCTCACCCCCCTGCCTCCCCCTTTCTGTATTTTTAAAGTCACTTTGTGGAGAGTGCCCCTTTTTTTTTGCCTTTTCTTTTCTTCCAAGAAAAAGAAGCCTGCTTAGAATAATGGTAAGTAATGAATCTGCATTTATTAAATGTTGCCTGCACAGAAGAGAGGGAATTAAATGGTATGTCGGAATCACTAATGTAGAGCTTTGGGAGAGAGCTAAACAAGTTCCAGTGGACAAAGAGGTGAAGAAAAGATGCTGGGGGTAGATAGGAGACACATGAAAAAACCTGAGAAAAATAACTATAGTGTCTTTGCACTGGAACATAGAAATTAAAGAAAACAAAAAAATACTTGGAGAAGGGAGCTATAGAGCTAAGTTAAAAAGAGAACAAAGAGAGAGCTGCACACAAAAGCGAAGGATAGAATGACTTGGAATGAGTTGGTTGAGGGCCTATGCTCAATTGGGGGTTAGAAAGGCAAAAACAAAAGAATGAATCTGCACGAAAGCATGAATTCTTCATTTAAAATGTCAAGAATTCCAAGCTAACACATGTTAAAATCAATACTAGGAAACATCCTGAGTAGTAAAGGATGACAGGCGTGGGGTTGACCACATAACCATTTCATTTTAATGACAGACATCTCTAGCTACTAGTTACATGTACACTGGTATCTAATTAACTGCATCTGAAACAATAAGAAATCAATTGTTCCTTGTATGGGTTCTAGGGCCCCAGTTTTAGCCTGTTCTAAAAAGTGACTTATTAAGAAGTTGCTGAAACTGGATGTGATCAGCTGAAATATGCAGATACTGCAGCCTAGCTGTAAACCACAACACAACATGCCAACCAATTTTTTTTTAAAGCAGACGGGAAAAAAAGCATTATTAAAATGGCCTCACCTTTCCAAACTTCCCCAAAGCATCCTGCCCCAAGCTTATTGGTTAGTTTGACTGCTTCTCTACTGATTTCTAAGTCTCTGAATTGTACAACAGGTCTAATACGAGGACAGGCAGCGACAAGCCGACAACATAAGCCATCGGAATTATCTGTGGAAAAGTGTTACATCATAGTTATCATTTCTCTGCAGCAGTTTCAGGACCCTGTTTTTGAGGGGAAAACAGAAAAAAACTTCTGAACTCTTTTAGTCCCGAGGAACATATCATACATTCATACGTTTCTACCTAAAGGCCCAATGAATGCAAGATGTGCTGATTTTACGTCTCTCTTGACTACCCCTTGGGTCTATGATGTTTAACTCCTTGGGACTCAAAGAGTTAACAAGCATGTCTCAGGAGGCGACTAATTAAAGATGTGCTCAAGTCGGATGTGTTGGGCCGTCAGACACAGATATCACAGACTAGCTGTAAACCACAACACAATGTGCTAGCCACCCTTTTAAGGGTGAATGCAGAAGAAGAAGAAGTATGAATGACTGATGGGCAGTCTACCTGCCTACCTGAAAGTTCATACCCCTGTAATTTTGAGTTGCATCCTAAATCCCAATAAAACACAGCCAATACCCAGTTCTACTGTCTACCAATACCATAATTAGGGCACCCGTTAAAAAAAAGCTACACCCAAAAATACCCCTGTAACACAGTCCTGCCCGGATAAGGATGATTCAAATTAAAAGTAGCAGCATTTCCAGGTTACAGTGATGTGCTAAACACAGACCAAAAACACACCGTCTATCATGTGTGTGTGTATACTCTGTGTGGGTTCCTGGGTCCTATTGTGGGGAAAAGAAAAATAGACCCGCTGCCTCCCCAACAAGCATGTTGTAAGAGTTGACTAATTGGGAGCTTCCTTCGAAGTCGGAGTGCATCTGTCTGAGAGGCAAGGATCCAACAGTCTGCATACAAAAAAGTCAGATCTGTAAAATGGATGTGCACACAACACTCAGGTTCTAGAACAAGTTTAAAGTTCAGAGGTAGTTGAACAACCAGAACTTTCAGCTGGGGTTTACAGCCAGTGTATGGAAAGAAGAAGAAGATGTGTGTGTATATGCCCCTTTTAGTGCAGAGTAGGATGGGAATTGGAAAGGAAGGGGGGGGGGGGTCCAAGTACCTGAGAATTTAATGTTGTCTGGCTAGTGGTCGCCACAGTTATGCAAGTTAGGATTTTTATTCTTTTCCTCTCAGAGAAATATCGAGGATCAAACCCATGTCTCCAGCGCAACAGGTCAGTGCACTAACCACTCAGCCAGCCACTCCTCCCAGACAAATGGGAAGACACACAGTGTGTTTAATGCATTCCACTATAACAATTTAAACAATCATTTTAAACAATCATTCACTCTGTTACAATGAGCACCCACGATCCTTTTCCATTCACACCTATATTTCTGATAAAGACAAGACAATGGTCACAAACGTCCTGTCAATATGGTGGAGAGGGAATCTGACTGTCTTTAATCATGGCAAGTTTCTGTTTCCAACAACAGTTATCCATTGCATTTTCCTCCATATGTAGACTGAAAAAAATATAGTTCTATTGCCCAGTTACCAGCTGAGTGCAAGGCATGACACTGTGAGCTGCATATTTCATTTCACATGGTTTGTGTTGTGAAATGCAGATTCAGAAAATGGTGACTGGCCTCTTGTTAGAGAACAGATGGTGCCTCATGTCTAACTGCGTGTGCAATTACTGATATGTTGTTACTGCAGCTTTCATCGATGATGAACTGTATTTCTAGTATCGGACTGTTTGTTTTGGCATCTCTGACAACTGCCTCATGCATGTAAAGAGTGTGTATGCTACTGGCTTTGCTAAGACTACAGTCTGTGTCAGCTTTTTCCCAAGGGACAGTGATGCACATTCTTAGTGGTTTTTGTTGGCATAGGAGCGGAGCTACTATGGGATGACCCATATGCTATGAAGTTGGAACTGTGATTACCTGGTTTTCTCACCTGGCTGCTACCTTGAAATGAGAAAACGAATCATTGACAGAATATCTTTTTTGGCATGTTCACTGGCTGTAACTCCAGTGGAAAGTTCTGGCTGTTTGTCCAACTCTGGACTTTAGTCTTGTTCCAGAACCTGTGTGTTGCATGCAGATTGTTGGTACCTTTCATCTCAGGCAGATGCATTTCAACTGTAAAGGAAGCCCCTATATAGTTGACTTGTTTGACATGCTTTTGGGGAGGTAGTGGGCCTATTCTTGTGCCCCCCCCCCCTTCACCCCCACCCCACCCTTTCTCAGAACACTTCATTTCATGTCTTTACTGGTTTTATAGTTTTCACTGGCTTGTGTTAAAACTTAAGATAACATCAAAATTAAAAATATGTAACTTGAATTTCAAACTATATATTTACATCTCCATATTCACTGTAGAAAATGGCGCTGAACTGACTGAGAAAAGTGTAATGTATGTATATAAAGGACAGTTTATATAAAACCCTCGTGAAGTTATCCATCTGGGCATAAACAGGAAAGAACACTGCAGAAGGCTGGTTTCTCTTACCTCTATAGTGGTTGATAACATCAATGAGACTGTCAAATGTTTTCTTGGCACTAATGTAGAAACCGCCATTATCCATCTTACGAATACGGTAATGTTTGACACATGGCTCACCATTTGCCTTATCACTGTCACGTACAGACAGCACATATGAAGACTTATCTGCAAATTAACATTCGACAATCTGTTAATTATTACAAATTTCATATATAATTGGGCAGCTGTCTTTGGAATCAGCAAAAAATAAAATCCTATGATGAAGCAATAAACAGAGTTCTTCTTTATCTTCTTCTACGTATTCACTGGCTGTAAACCCCAGCAGATAGTTCTGGGTATTCATCCACCTCCAGACTCTTGTTCCAGAACCTGAGTGCTGCGTCCACATCCATTTCACATACAGGGCTCATCAGCATGCAGACCTCTGATTTCCTGCCTTTCAGGCAGTTGTACTCTGATTTCAGAGGATGCCCCAGATTAGTCAACACCTACAACATGCTTGTTGGGGAGGCAGTGGGTCTTATCTTGTTTTCTTCTTAATGGGAACCTGAACCCACACAGGAAATGAACTGGGTTCAAATGAATGGCAAATATACAAATCTGTGTTTATAATTTCCTAAGGAATCTGATGGCTGTGATTCAATCATTTAACATAGTTATATCAGGGCACCAGACGGTTATGATTCAATCATTCAACACAGTTATGTCAGGGCACCAGATGGTTACGATTCAACCATTAAACACAGCTATGTTAGAGCACCTGACAGTTATGATTCAATCATTCAACACAGTTATGTCAGAGCACCAGATGGTTACGATTCAACCATTAAACACAGCTATGTTAGAGCATCTGACAGTTATGATTAAATCATTCAACACAGTTATGTCAGAGCACCAGATGGTTACGATTCAACTATTAAACACAGCTATGTTAAAGCATCTGACAGTTATGATTCAATCATTTAACACAGTTATGCCAGGGCACCAGACGGTTATGATTCAATCATTTAACACAGTTATGTCAGGGCACCAGATGGTTATGATTCAATCATTTAACACAGTTATGTCAGGGCACCAGACGGTTATGATTCAATCATTTAACATAGTTATGTCAGGGCACCAGACGGTTAGGATTCAATCATTTAACACAGTTATGTCAGGGCACCAGACGGTTATGATTCAATCATTTAACATAGTTATGTCAGGGTACCAGACGGTTATGATTCAATCATTCAACACAGTTATGTCAGGGCACCAGACGGTTATGATTCAATCATTAAACACAGCTATGTTAGAGCATCTGACAGTTATGATTCAATCATTTAAAACAGTTATGTCAGGGCACCAGACAGTTATGATTCAATCATTTAACACAGTTATGTCAGGGCATCTGACAGTTTTAATTCAACTATTTTTAACACAGCTATGGAAGATGTATCACAGACAAAAAGAACATTATAAGACAGGTCAAAACTGCCTTTTATAAAATGAAGAACATTTTGTGCAATAAATCAATATCACTGGAGGTTAAAAAAGAATTCTCGCAAGCTATTTAGAACCAGTTTGAAAATAACGGCTGTGAATCCTGGACAATTAATAAGCTGAACAATATCTTGAGGCCTCGGAGATTTGCTTATATAGAAGAACAAGTAGCCCCACAAGCCTAAAATGACTCAACATGCTTGCTTTGTGTTGATAAATCAAACGATTGGTACTATTACTAAAATGTTTGTGTCTGGCAGCTCCAGGTTGTATTTCTTTATCCACCAACATGGACACAGACATGGAGTTATCTCTGTTACAAAAATCATTGTCATGATATGCAATTCGCAGGGCAGTGATGACATCAGCCCTGCCTACAGCCAAACTAGTCATAAAGGCCTGAGTGTCCACCAGATAATCTGCATGCTCCTAGCCCTGAACACATGTAGGGTCCGGAACAAAGATTAAGGTTAGACAAGTCCTTCATGCTTGATGAGACAAATCCATTCTTGTCTGATGAAGCCAGCATGGATTTTCTTACGCACGCATACCGAGTCATTCCTGTGTGAACTCTTGAGTGCCCAACACTACCAATGCCCTTGTTACAGCCAAGGTCTTCATTCTGTGGTTACTATACAATTTCAAAACAACTTAGGTGATCACTGTACGTGAGTTAATCAAGCACTCACCTGTGGCTTCTCTAACTAAAAATGTTCCCTGTGGATTGCCTGGTAACAACAACATCTTGTCAGACTCTTTCCTATCATACTCAAACCACCAGCTGGAATATTATTTTAAAAAACATTATGAGATTTGGAGTTTACTCGACAATGATTTCCACAATAATTTTAACATGTGAGCCCATGTGACAATTATTTATGTGATAATGTGCATACTTGAGGCAACATGACAATTATTCTTCACATAATTTGAATTCTTCATAGTATAATTTGAACATCTGAGTCCACATAACAATTATTCATTGTATAAAATACGAATATGAGTGGGAGGTGCTGTGATGTCAATTACAGACGCGAAGGAAAGTTCAGTTCACTGTGCAACCTATCAGGTATAGCTTGTACCTCACCTCGGATGCCATTCTGGTCTGTGCTGTTTCTATGGACACTCCTGCAAGTCTCCTGCTAACATCCATGCAATGTGCCCTGGATAATGGCCTAAATCAGCCTAAACAAAGCTGGCAGGGGATCTCTGAGTTGGTGGCCCCCCAGAGATACAGAGTTCAGACAGCCTGATGGGTGGGGAAACATAAGACAGCAGACCAGCAGTCATCATCATCCTCATCATTGTCCTGTAGTGCCAGTATATGACATATAGGGCTCGTAGTCTATTCCTCTATTCCGTTCTATCAATATAAATATATCCTTTATTGGTCCTATTTATATTTCCCAGCTCAAACAGCGTAATTGGGCTTTCATTCATGCTATCTCACCTGTGACATGAGCTAGTCTATGTTAGAGGGGTATCACGTTGTCTTGTCTCCAATTACATCAGCGACAATGTCACATGTTCTATACTACACGATGACACAGCTTTTAATGACCCCAGAACATCTAGAACTGGTCATAACCCCCCCCCCCCCCCCCCCCCCCCCCCCCCACCCCCCCCCCCCCCCCCCCCACCCCCCCCCCCCCCCCCCAACAGCCTCAGCCTAGGTCCCGCGAGAGAGTCCAGAGTATGTCCTATGGTTTCAGAATTGTTAAAATGTTCCTGTCTAATCTAAAAATCCGTTTTGCTTCAGAAAAGCAACTCTCTCCTCCTCGTCACTTGTCAAAGCTGACAGCTGACCTAAATTCATGTCGTACCTGAAGTCCGTAATATATACAATATCACGGCAACCAGTAAAACACACTGTGTAGCTCGCTGCCTATATACGCACAATATAGAAACCTCTTCGCAAACACACACAAATATGACACCCCTCTAACATAGACTAACCCATGTCACAGGTGAGAAAGGATTAATGAAAGCCCAATTATGCTGTTTGGGCCAAGAAACGTAAATAGGACCGTTGAAACCTGTTCTAATGGTTTTATTACAAAAACATGAAAGAAACATAAACAAGTGTGGCAGAATTAATAAAGTATCCATTCTAAATGGATATTGCACCATGGGTTGGTCAGAAAAAAATCACAGTAGGCATTCAGGCAAGCATCTCATAGCTTAGGTAGGCGGCAAATGTCATCCGCAAAAAAAAAGTATGTGGTTGCTCCCTGAACCAAGTGTTTATAGCATTCATTAAGTCTGCATCTGTGTGAAATCAATGCCTCTTTACAGCTTTTTTTAGAGGTTGGAGCGAATGAAAATCACAAGGTGACAAATCAAGACCATGTTCATGATGTTGCAGAATTTCCCACTTCTTTCGTGCTGAGGCTTACTGCACAATTTTTGCAACATGCGGATGAAACTGCTGGTGTACAATCCTTTCCCATAATTGAAGTGCTCCTAGAGTTAAAATCGTTCCTTTTATGATTTTTTTTCAAGAATGAAAATGAAAATTCAGTTGCCATACTTACTCTTGCGTCTGTGGTGAGGTGCCATCTTTGATAACATAATTGCTTGGAATATATCCTTTTTTATGTGTCTTACAATGTGTTGCCAGCCACCAGTCATCTGTTTCTAAACTGTGAACAAGAAATTAACATTCACTATGAGTGTCTAGGCACAAGGGTAACATCAGATAGAAAACGTATCAAAATAATTTTTTGTTAAAACTTTTTTTTTAGTGTTCACTTGTTGTAAACTCCAGTGGAAGTTCTGGTTGTTTGTCCACTCCTGGACTTGAGTCTTTGGGAAAAGATTTATTTCTATATAAAGGGAAGTACTGGATTTTTCCATGTACAAGATGGCCCATAAGACGATCCCTATCTTAATCACATTCCGTGTATAAGACAACCTCTCATTTTAAACTTTAAAAATCTAGGAAAACAGCCGTTGGCCAAACATTCTTTGCGGCTGTTCCAGTAGTGAGGTACAAGACCCCCCCCCCCCCTCCCCCGGTCCCAACCCCACTTATTAAACAACTCATTTCTCGGTACACCAAATCCAATTGTATTAACCAATTTACATGTAAGTGCCAGTTGACTTACATCGGTCGAACGGAGAGACAGCTTAGAAATAGAGTGGCAGAGCACATACCCAAATGGCTACATATACAGCTCGGTGATTCTTCTAGGGTGTCGAGACCAGTCAAGAGGAAAGAACCCACTTCTTCCATAGGACGTCATCTGCTTAATTCCGACATGTAATTGACACAGACACTGCTTTCAGTGTGATTTATCACAGACCAAAAAGGCGACTGCTGAGATTGGCCGAAGCTTTAACAATTAAAATATCATCTTGTACTTGTAAAAATAAGGAAACCACTAAATACAAACACAGAAAGAATTAACCAGTTTCCTTCCTTCTGACCATTTATAAAAGGTTTTTGGTCACTTTGCCACAGACAGCAATGTGATGCAACTGTGAAATTGTATAACTTCATGACGGCGTCACAATTTTTTTTTAAATCTAATTTTTTCAGAGGGGCAGAGAAATGCCACTGGTATAGACAGACATGAGAAATCTAATGAGAGAGACAGAAACAGACAGAAAGAAAGAGGGAGGCAGACACATAGAACAAAGGAAATATGGTGTCAATGGCTATTAGTAATGCAACAATACACCCATATATGGACACAGATTTAAAAATACAAAATAGATCATACGTTGAATCTTCAACTTCCAGAAGGTCTCCTTTCTTGAATGACAAGTCATCTTCATTGATTGCTTCAAAGTTGTACAATGCTCGCACTGTTGAGAATAAAACATGAAGTCAAAACTGCTTTCCACAAAAAGCATCATGTAAGATGTGGAGGTGTGGTTTTACAAGCAAAGTGATGAGAACACAAGATAAATTAAATACACTTGATGTGGGATTACAACAGCTAGGTCTGAAAATCTATAAGGAAAAGACAAAGATAATGAGAATAAATCAGACAAATAGTAATGTGGCTTCTCTTAATGATATCCCACTCCAGGATGTGGAGTTGTACACCTATTTGGGCAGTAGTGTACACAAAGATGGGGAAACTGATAGAGTTATTAAATTATGAATACAAAAGGCAAAAGCTTTCAAAGCACTAGGAAATTTGTGGAGGTCAAAAAAAAAATTAGAACTAATACTAAACATACAACTTTGTAATTCTAATGTCAGGTCAGTACTGTTGTACTAATCACTAATAAACTATAAATATTTCTTAACTGCTGCTGGTACAGAATAGAGGGAATTAAATAGCATGATATAATCACTAAAGTAGAGCTTTCGGAGATAGCTAAACAAGTTCCTGTGACCAAGAAGTGAAAAAAAGACGCTGGCATTGGATAGGACACATGTTGAGAAAACCTTAGAACAATATAACTAGAATGTCTTTGCACTAGAACCCACAGGATAATAGAAATAAAGGAAGACCAAAAATACATGGAAAAGGGTGCTAGAGAGTGAAGGTAAAAAGATGGGGAGGATAGGGGAGAGTTGCATGCGATAGAGTAGAACAACTTGGCGTGAGTTGGTTGAGGGCCTATGCTCCATTGAAGGTTAGAAAGGCAGAAGAAGAAGAAAACCAAGAAGATGAGAACACAATGTACAGATTCAAAAACAATAATCCATACAAAGACATCTTGAAATAAACCTGTATAAAAAGCAGATACTCCACATACTTTTGACTTGTCGTCATCATCATCGTGTGCCCTACCATGCAGCATAGGTACTCTTGTCCCTCCACAGACCTCCGTCTTTGGTATATCAATTTCCCTGATGATATTCCTTCATGCCATCACTTCAGACCGTCAAGCATCATCTATCATGGTCTACCTCTTCTACTGTTGATCTTTCCAGTCATCATGATATTCTCCAATGCCCATATTCCCATCTCATGACCAGAGAATACTTGACCACTGTGTTTTATTATAGTTGTATTTAGTTTTCTTATTTCATCCACGCAATCACTGTTAGTGTTTGTTCATGGTATCCACAGCAGGTATTGCAGAAACTACATCTCCACAGCCTCAAAGTACAAAATGCTACTGGCACAATTAATATTGGAACTCTGCACTGGCTGTTGAAGATGGGGACAGAGCGCTTATGGGAATGCCCCGAGTGCTGTGATGTCGGTTCTTGAATCAACTGAACTTAAGTTCTTCTTAATATTTTCACTTACCTTAGAAAATTCACTGCCATATAGCAACACTGTTTTAACATAACATTTCAGCACTCTTTTTCTGGTATTCCTGGTCTGTCTTTGATCTTTCTTATTATTATTTCATTACAGAAAGAGAATAAATCTGGTGAGAAAACATATCTTTGACTAATTTGTTTTATTTGTTCCTAATAGCCCCACTTTATTTTGTATTTTAATTCTGTAGGTATTTTTAATAATTCTGAGACCTTTTTCATCAATCATAATATCCTCCAACATTTTGATCAGTTCATCATTTTTCACTCCGTCAGATGCTTTGGTGTAATCCATAAAGCACAATTATAGGTATTGTTGTACCTCAACCAACCTATCAGTATTAAGAGTACTGCATTAGTTATATTTATATTGCATTATTTATATTTATACTGCACTATAATTTTTATACTGCATTATCTACATTTATACTGCACTATTTATATTTATATTGCATTATTTATATTTGTACTGCACTATAATTTTTATACTGCATTATCTACATTTATACTTCACTATTTATATTTATACTGTATTATTTATTTTTATACTGCATTATTTATATTTATATTGCATTATTTATATTTATACTGTATTATTTATATTTATATTGCATTATTTACTCCTGTAAATCCACATTGCTCTTCCAAATTTCCATCTTTATTTTCCTTTTTTGCAATGATTCTAAGCAAAAGTTTAAAGAAATGGTTGACCAGGTTTAGTGTACACAAATCATCAGCACCTAGCCTCTGAAGTTAGGCGCCAATGATCGACTAATACATCCTTAGGTATTCCTCAACTATTGTAGATATCGATCACCGGTTTACCTAATATGTCTATTTCAAATTTTCAAGTACATCTTTTTCCTCTACAGTTATTTCAGTATTGGCAGACCTTTCAACTTTCTTCCATTATTAATTTCTGTTTCTCTCTCTGTTGTAAAAATCTATTTTGTATTGATTCCATCACTTTATAATAATTTCTGTTCAATTAAAACCTTTCCTGTCTATGGTTTCAAGCACCCTGTGTTGAAACCTGTCTTTCTATCACTCAAATTATTGATTTACTTGTGATATTTTTAATTTGTATAATATGCAGTTCTATTTATTCACAATATGAGTCGTGGACTATTTCTCAGTCCTTAAGAAAGAGAATAGGGGCTTTTGAGCTGAAATGCTATAGAAAGATTCTCAGAATATCTTGGACAAAGAAGAGGAGAAATTTTGACATCTTAAAAGATCTGAACATCAATGAAGATTGGCTAATAAACAGCATCCTTTCTCAGAAGCTGAAATATTTTGGTCATATCAAGCGCCACAACGGATTGGAAAAAACTATAGCAAAAGGCATGGTACCAGGAAGGAGGGGCAGGGGCCGACCGACACGAAGATGGGCATAGGATATAAGTGACTCCTTGAGTATGAAAGTGCATGAGGCAGGAGAACTGGCGAGAGACCGAGTTTCTTTCAGGCAGACTGTGATGAGAGCGACGTTCTGCAAAGGACCTGCTACATGATGATTATGATTTATTAACATTATTCATACAGCCAGTTTTATTTTGCTTATCTGCACATGGCATTTATTTCATGATTTGTTCTATCAAATTTTTCTTTGTTATTTTCTCACAAGAAGATTGAGTCTTCTTTTGATGGCACGGTTAATGCTGTATAGTTTATAATCGAATTTTAAGGTCAAGTGTAAAAGACTGTAATCGTTACAGATTATAAGATTGCAGGGTGTGAGTGTCAAGCATATTTTAAAACCCTGGAGGAATCACAAGTGCCTAAATATTAACATTAACTACATCTCCAAGCTCAGAGGCTTGTCTTTATCATATTCCACAACACATCATGCTGGTGGGTTACTAGGTACTGTTTAAAAAGTTCCCGCAACTTCTTTCAGTCATATGCAATAGACTTCATATTTGCATGTTTGAGGGCAATCCATTAAGCCATTCTTTCAAAAAAGATCTCACTTTGAATGCTAAATACTTCCCGTGTGAACTTTAGGACCCCACTGGGAGGGAACAAGAAGTCAACTAATTAGGAGCTTCTTTAGGAGTTGGTGTGCATCTGCCTGAGAGAAAAAGAAGAACAACAACAACAAGAAAAAGGAGGAGGAGGAGGAGGAGGAGGAGGAGAAGAAGAAGGATTAGTAGAAGAAAAAGCAGCAGCAGCAGAAAAAGAAGAAGAAGAAGGAAAAAAAAGAAGAAGAAAAAAAAAAGAGGAAGAAGAAGAAGAAGAAGAAGAAGAAGAAGAAGAAGAAGAAAAAGAAGAAGAAGACAAGAAGAAGAAGACAAGAAGAAGAAGAAGACAAGAAGAAGAAGAAGAAGAAGACAAGGAGAAGAAGAAGAAGAAAAAGAAGAAGAAGAAAAAGAAGAAGAAGAAGACAAGAAGAAGAAGAAGACAAGAAGAAGAAGAAGAAGAAGAAGAAGACAAGAAGAAGAAGAAGACAAGAAGAAGAAGAAGTAGAAGAAGAAGACAAGAAGAAGAAGAAGAAGGAGCAAAAGAAGAAGACAAAAAGAAAAAAGAAGAAGGAGAAGAAGCAGCAGCAGAAGAAGAAGAAGGAGAAGAAGAGAAAGCAAAAGAAGAAGAAGAACAAGAAGAACAAGAAAAAGAAGAAGTAAGTAAGTAAGTAAGTAAAGTAAGGGACCCTTTTTTCCACACCTTTAGGCATATAGGGCTAGACCTATTTTTTATAAACCAATAATCACTTTGCGGCTGATTTGGTCAACATCATGCCAACTAACTTTACTTCCCAGAACTATATCTGGTACCGACTCAAGGCTGGGTCAACCTGGAAGCCAATGTCATTTCTGAAAAAAATTTAGTTCCATCAGGACCCGAAGCCACGACCCTGACATCCAAAGGGTGAGCATCTAGCCGCTTCACAATGGGAGCTCCCAAAGAAGAACAAAAAGAATGTTAAATAATAATAATATTGCTGCTGCTTACTGCTACTGCTACTGCTACTGCTACTGCTACTGCTACTGCTACTGCTACTACTACTACTACTACTACTACTACTACTGCTTTTGCTACTACTGCTACTACTACTATTACTACTACTACTGCTGCTGCTACTACAACTACTACTATTACTACTACTGCTACTACTACTACTACTATTACTCCTAATAATACTAATAAAAATAATAATAAATTAATTAATTAATTAGCCTAAGCAAAGCTTTTAATGAAATCTGTTACCTCTGTTTTTCAAAGGCAATGTTGGCAAGGGTCTTGTTGGAGAAGTAGCACCACCAGTTGAACTGAAACCATCTAGGGTCACATGATCATGAGTGATCTGAATTGAAGGACGAGGATCGGGAAGATATTTGGCTTGGCTCCGACTCTTTTTCCCTCCTGGTGGACAGACATTACCCATCACGGACAGACACTACTGTGCAGGCTGTCTGTAACAAAGTCATCCTTCTATTAGCAATATTTTCTAGTCTAATTGGTTTTCATATTTTTTATTATGCTATTATACTTGGACAATAGAGGAAGACAATGAGAGAAGATTCTTGACAGTCTTGTTGCATGGCATGAAGGGGTGTCAGCACACAAACTGATACATGCCACAGGAGATCGCAGATTGTGGAGAGGCATGATCGTCCATGCCAGTCAGCAAAGCACCTGATGATGATGATACTTGGATAATGAACAAACAACTAGAAATCGAACTGGGTCTTTGGAAATGTGGAAATACTGAAGAATAAGTTTACTTTATAGAAACAAAATCAGTCCAATACAGTTTATGAAATGATTGTGAATGAAAAGAGTATAACTGAAATAAAAAAAATAAAAAGAGACAACTGAAATACTTTGCCAAATTAAAAGACATAACACTTTTAAAAAGTCATACCTGAGGGGGAAAAACTCAAGGGCAAGAGGTAGACAACATTACAAGTTGTTCAACAAGCGGGTGACAGAGAAAGATGGTTAGTTTTGTGTGCTAGTGATTCAATCAATACACATCTATGACCGTAATGGGTCAAGGGTTATGTTACTACGTCGCAAGGAGAACTGCCTGGGTTTTTTTTTTCTTCCATGATATTCTTTACACGCTTCTCAAAAATCAAACCTCCATTTTTCTTCTGGTCTTCAAAATGTCTCCTCTGTTCACTGTGAGCAACAATTAAAGACACACTTAAAGGATACCAAAATCTGTATAAGCCAACTGGCACTCAGTGAGTGAACAAGTCAACATCACACAGGCCACTTTTACTTCACAGGACATTTCTTAGTACCTAATTTAGGCAGGACTGACCTGGGAACCAAGGCAAAAACAAAAAATCTGCCCAGACCTTCAGGTCAGCAGCCTAGCTAAGCAATGATACCACAACCCCTCCACGCATTCTGGGATTGAGCATTTGCTTGTACAACAAAAGTCAACGTTGAGGTTGCCTTGGTAACATAGACCATGAATAACATGTAACTGTTAGTATCTATGTGTTTTTTGCACTTCAGTCTAATGGGTCCCTTTGTTCATTTCTACCATGTGAATCTATAAATTAAGCCAGACAATAAACTGTGCAGTCTGTATGTGCCTTTGTTAAAACTGTTAATAGTGAACTATTTTCAAACTGATTTTTTTTTTTTAGTGTCACAGTACTCTCACTGCATATATTCATAGACAGATAGCATTATTTGAATACCACAATTATGTGAAAGACAGGCAAACATAATCAACACAAGGTGAAATCCAAAAGTACAAATTTGTAAACAAATATCTGAACGAGAAAACAACAACCTATATTTCCCAAACGAAACTCAGAAATGTTAAAGTAAAGGACCCTTTTCCACACTTTCAGGCATATTGGGCATATGGGGCCTAGGCCTCAATCGACACTCACTGGGTGATGTGGACAACATCATGCCAGCCGTCTTGACTTCCCAGGACTTTACCTGGTACCCATTTAAAGCTGGGTAGACATGGGAACTAAGCAAAGTTTTTTTTTTTTTTTTCAAGTCTGGCTCCATCAGGACCTGAACCCATGTTCTTCAAATTTGCAGGCAAACATCTAACTGCTACACCAATCCCAATCTAGAAATGTGGAACAGGATACTATGAGTGATGGTACTGTTGCTACAGCTGCTGCTGCTACCACTACTATGCTCGTTGTACATATAAGACTATCAAAAGCTAAGAATGGAAGGAATTTCTGCTTGGATGCACTCAATGACAAATAAAATCTGAGGGCTGACAATATCTCCACTAGGAAAGACCCATGTTTTCTGGAATAATTCCACGTTCACAGCTTTAACACAACCAGGTCATTAGTCAAACATCATCAGCACTTCAGAACAATGTCTGTTAACAAAGTACTTAAACAAAAGTTCAGTACTATCTTCCTTACAAAATTAGGCAGCCAGTACTTTACATAGGAGTCTCTGTGGCATTGGCGGCTAGACACCCGCCTGCGAATCCGAAGGTCGTGGGTTCGCGTCCTGATAGAGCCAGATTTTTTTGTTTCAAAAATGACAACCCAGGTGCAGTCCTGGTAAGTGAAGATGGCTGGCGTGATGATTACCACATCACCCACCAAGTGACGATTGGTCTATAAAAAAAAATAGGTCTAGCCCTATATGCCCAATTACTCCTAAAGGCGTGTTAAAGGGTCCTTTACTTTTAATACCTTACACGGATAACAGAAAAGGAAAAAAGGAGATCCTATGTTTTTCTTTGGAGGATCTGCCTTTTGACTGGTTTCCTCCCCATTACATAACAGACTCAGAGCCTCCCTAACAAGCATGTCGTAAGAGTAGATTGATTAGGAGTTTCTTTTAAAACTGGACTGCATCTGCCTGAAAGGCAAGGAACCAACAGTCTGCATATAAATAAGCCACATATGTAAAATGGATGTGCACAGAACGTTCAAGTTCTGGAACAAGGCTAAATTCCACAAGTAAACAAACAACCAGAACTTTCCACGACAGTTAACAGCTTGGTGAACGCAAAGAAGAAGATGGTATACATCACATCTAAAAGTCAATGTGTGTCGGCTTGCTGTCCTGCTTTATTTCCACCATATCTTCTTTTTCTTATAGTCCATGCCATGTGGCACTGGTAGTTATGTCTATGCACAATCTTTGTCTTATGTACTTTTAATCAACTCTGATACAGATGATCCTCTATGCCACGATGTCAAACTATCCAGCATCTTTTCTCTTGCTCTCCCTCTCCTCTCCTCCAACTTTTCTACTGTCACGTTGTACTCCAGTTTTCTCCTTCTCATCACAAGACCAAAGAATGTAGATTGTCACTTTATGATGTGGGCAATCAGTTCTCTTCGTGAGTCCTTTTCCTCAAAGACATATTTATTACTATTTTTAATCTGTCCAGGGTGTTTATCAGTTTATAAAACGACACTTCCGCAGCTTCCAAATAATTGTCCACTAATCTACCAAACATCCATGATTCACTTCTGTATCAAGATATCCACCATATCTACCATATCTACATGTCATTATTATTGGGGAATGTCTCTTAATGTGTTGACAATGTATCCAAATGTCAATGTTGTGTGTAGGCTTGCTGTCCCGAGGTATGCTACTTGCTGTTCCCATATACATACATGTCAGTGCTGCTGCAAGGACTGCCTCTTGTCTGATATCTAAATAATAATGCTGTGTATTGGCTTTGGGTTTGGTGAGTCATTAACATTATCAAACCATCCAACTTTGCCCACCCTTTCCATCTCTCAATGGGAAAATAAAATCCACTGCTGCACTATCTACTTGATTCATGATTTCCTTATTTCTTATGTTGGGATCTGTTTATAATAAAAAATGCATGAACAAACAGTACTTATTGTTGTTTTATTTTATCTCTTGTTGATGACGTGTCTGTAATATTTCAGTTTTGTAGCTAAGAATGTTTGTTGTTTAGTTCTTTCATAAAGATTTTAGTCAAAATTACAGATACAGACTATTTCAAGTGAATGAAAGAAGACTGGTCAAAATGGTTACTTGTATCTGTGTATCTTTTCTTTCGTCAGGCTTCCTGGTTATAATCTATGTTTGCTCATTCTCAAGATTTGTAACAGAATGTTACAATATTTAAAACATTTCACACCAGCTTTCATGACCCAAAAAAAAACCTGTTACTGCAAATGGTGATAAACTGCAAGTTGACAGCAAAGGGCATTGTTGAAGATTAAATCAAAATACATAAGCAAATGCAGTTTTGAATAACCAAGGGTAAAAAACAAGCACAAATATCTTATACCAAAACAGACATAAAATCTTTATATACCAATTATAAACCATATGGGTTCAACAGGATATTGTTATTTAAATAAATGCTATGCACAAAAATAAGACAAACAAAATAATTACTCACACATTATTCATGAAAAAGCTTTATACTGATATTTCACTGCCATCTACTTGTTAATAAATGGCAATATAAAACCAAAATTGTGTATATCTTGAATCCAACACAATCAGAAAAATTCACAAGTAATTATTCAAGTGGTAATTACAGTACTATTAAAGAAAAACAACAACCATGCAATGGTCATGTCTATTATCAAATAAAATCAAAAGCTTTCACACTCTAAATCAAGTGTTACATTTGGCACATTCCATTCTACTACAGGGTACACTAGTGTTTCTCAAACTTTTCTTAGTCCCGGCAACCTTTTTTTTCAATTAAAATTTTTCCACGGCGCCCTAACCTAAGTAAAAGTATGACTATTTGTATGTACGGTATTTTTTTTTTTTAACTCGTGTATCTTCTAATATTTTGCGGTGCCCCTGTAAAGAGGTTGGGACTCCTTGGGGCGCTGCAGCACAAAGTTTGGGAATCACAAGGGCAAACCAACAGTATTGCACTGGTACTCTGTCCATAATTAGAAACATGAGCCTAAGTGTTTTGACGTCAGTGAAGTAGCCTAGGAACCCAGAACATTAAAAACATCATAAGCTGTTGTTAAGTGGCCAAAAAGCTTCCTTGGTAAGCAAACTAAAGGAGAAAAATGCTACTTTACATTGGTTTATTTCCTTCATAATTTCTATACACTTTAGTTTTACAATCTGGTTACACTCCTGAAAACCAATAAAGCACTATGAAAACCCAGAAAGGAGTCACTAATGCCACACTTTCATTCATTCATGGCAGAAGTGGCTACACACAGCCAAAGTGGCCAATGGGAAAGTCACATTTCTGTTGTTTTTTCTTCTTTTTTTCTTCTTACCCTCCAGCGCAGCACAGGCCCTCAACGAACTCATCATATCCTAATCTATCACTGTGGTTTAGAAAGAACAGTAAGGAATAGCTCGTTACAAAAGGCATGAACTTTCTGATACAACTGTGTACAAAGGACATTTAAAGAGAACTTTAGCATGAGGTGAGAGAACTGGTAAGGATCCAGTCTTTTC